CAGAAACTCAGGATCTTGGTCTAGGCCAGGGTCCACAAACTTTTTCTGTAAAGGACAAAACAGTAAATATTTTAGACTTTGTGGGCTATAAAGTATTGGTTATTATGACTACTCAACTCTGCTGTTGTAGTATAAAAGTAGAAACAGTTCCTAGACCCAATTCCAAAGTATATGTGGGAGCTCCAACGTGCTAGCAGGGTATTCAAGAAGTCAACTCAATTCTGACCCTAGCTATCTGGAAATAGCTAGGATGCCCATTACAAGCTCAGGTTGTTTTGTTACCTTCGGCTTTATTGGCTACACATTTGATGTTCCAATGACCCTTTCAACTTAAGATGCAAATTGAAAGTCCAAATTGTTACCTGTTCTTGTGACTGAATGGCTCTAAATCAGAGAGGTTCCTACAACCCCCTCCTTGGGTTCAATTAATTTGCTAGAAGGCTCACAGAACTCAAGAAAATCCATTTACTCACTAGTTTACTGATTTATTCCAAAAGATATTCAAGAATACAAATTGACAGCCAGTTGAAGAGATACATAAGGTGTAGCCCTGAACAAAGGAGTTTGTGTAGCTTGGGGCACAAACTGACTTTGTGTAGCTTGGGACACAGTATAGTGGCAAATGTAATAGTTCTAGCTCTCCAGTGTGGAAGCTCTTTAAAAGTGGGTGATGAGCTGTCATTCTGTTTTTTATTATATAATCATGATTGTCTATCAGTGTTTCCCAAAGTGTGGTACGCGTACCCCCAGGGGTACGGGAAGAGTTTGGTGGGGTACGCGTTGCACCATGCTTAGCTGCGCCTAATTCTAGTTCTCATGAGTACGAGGGGTACTCAGCATTACGAAAATTATAGAAGGGGTACACATATGTCAAAAGTTTGGGAAACACTGGTCTAAGTCATTGGCTAACCTCCAGCCTCTCTCCCATCCCGGGATATCAGGAGGTGGGGCTAAAAATTCCAATCTTCTGACCACATTGTTGGTTCCTATTGCAACCAGCCTCCACCCTTGGGTGTGGTCCAAATGTCACCTCATTTACATATAGGAGATACCTGTTTATTTGCTTTCCTGACTTAGGAAATTCCAAGGATTTTAGAGGCTGTGAGCCAGGAATGGGGTGAATACCAGATATATATTTTTTATTATAAATTACAATATCACAGAAAACAATTGTGGATAATCCAAGGTTTTGTGTATCTGTGTGGCAAAGAGCATCTTAAGAAACTTTCTTTGAAGTCTAATACAGCTTAACCAGTGAATAATCATAAAGTGAACTCATTCATATAATCAGAGACAGGTCAAGAAGTAGAAAATATTAGAGCCCCAGAAGACCCACTAATGTTCTACCCTCCTCCCCAGAGGTAACCAATATGGTAACATCTGACACCTAGATTAATTTACTTTTCTTTGAAGTTTATGTAAATAGAACGGCACTAGATGGTATCCTTTTGCATCTGGGTTCTTTAGCTAAAATTTGAGAACTCATTTCTTCATTGCCATGTAGAATTTTTCTGTAAAATATGCTATTTATCCATTTTACCTTTGATGGATATTTGAATTTTTCCACTTTTAAGGTGTTACAAACAATACCTCTATGAATCTTCTGGTTCTTCACATCTTCTGGTGTTCCTTAGTAAATACTACCTACCAGTTTTTCAAGTGACTGTACCCATTTTCACTGTACTAGTAATGTTAGGAGAGCTCCAGATTTATACTATCATCTACAAGTTTGAGAGCCCTATGGTAGAGGGATTACTTATTATATTGTTTTTAATAAAGCTAAGCTGAGACCATAGCATGACTTCCCACCTTAGGAAGCATTTGAAGACTTGTTATCCCTTCTTTCAGCTAGTTATTAGGTATCATTCGTCAATTGTTGTCAACCCTCAGAAGTTTGGTTTAAGCCCACTTCTACTAAAGTCATTAATTTCTTTCCAAAATTAAAAATGGGTAACCCTATCTTGTTTGGCTCAGTGGATAGAGCATTGGCCTGTGTACTGAAGGGTCCCACGCTTTGATTCCGGTCAAGGGCATATGCCCGAGTTGGGGGCTTGATTCCCAATAGGGGGGTGTGCAGGAGGCAGCCAATCAATGATTCTCATGATTGATGTTTCTATCTCTCCCTCTCCCCTCATCTCTAAAAATCAATAAAAATATCTAAAAAATATAAAAATAAACTAAAAATGGGTAATTGTGCATGTGAATATAGCTATTAGGCCATGGCTGGCTTGGTGGATAGAGCATCGATCTTTAGACTGAGGGGTCTCAGGTTTGATTCCACTTGTACCTTGGTTTTGGGCACATCCCCATTAGGAGGTATGTAGGAGGCAGCTGATCGATGTTTCTATCTCATCGATGTTTCTGACTATCCCTCTCCTTTCCTCTCTGTAAAAAAATCAATAAAATGCATTTTAAAAAAGTAGCTATGCTATTGTAACCTACTTTTATAAAATAGCTATTAGTCTATTTCTTTCCTACTCTAAAAATTATACTCATAAGTAAATTATTATAGGAAAAAAAGGACCATTAAAGATTTTTAGACTGAAATATTATAGATTAGACTGACTACTTAGGGATCAGACTGAGAATGAGTGTCAAATATGTTGAGGGAAGAGGAATAAGGAAATGTAATTATGTGCCCAGTCTTTTATGTGTTAAGTTTAGTCCTCATGCAAATGCTATAAAGTGAGGGGGGCAGATGGGTCTGCGACTGTTTTAGAGAGGAGGAAACTAAAGAACCAAACAAGCTAAATGTCTGTTGTGAACAGTGCTGTTACAAACATTCAGATACATGTACTTTTTTTGAATATTGGTTTGCAGTTCTTTTGCAAACCTAGGAGTAAAATTGCAGGGTAATATTTAATTTTTTGAGAAAGCACCAAACTCCCATAGTAACTGAACCGTTTTACATTTCTACCAGCAATGTTCATGGGTTCAGTTCCAGTTTTTCTACATCCTCATCAATACTTGCTATTTTCTATGATTTTTTTGTGTGTGTTCTGAATGGTATTATTGACAGTATAGTTGTGTGTATTTTTTTTTACTTTGTTTTCTGTGTGTTGCTGGTATACAGAAATATTTTTTCCTATGTAAACATTGTATCTAGTGACCTTAAATTCACTTGATAATTCTAATAGTTTGTGTATATTTATTGGATTTTCTTTATAAACTGAATTTCTGATTTCCAAGTGCTATTTTATTTTTTGTTCCTTTTTCATAGTGGTTTGTTATTTTATGGATCCAATGTCGTTGTGAATCACTTAGAGGATATTTATTAGAATTTAAACTCCTTAAAATTTTCATTACCTTAGTTTCCTTCGTGGTTGATTCTATTGCTTTTCATTTTGGTCCATCTTAATTTGTAAGTACTTCATAGTGATCTTTGGTTATCTATTTATATTTACAAAGGTTGCTTTTGGTGGCTGACATTGGCTTCTTCTCAGTGTTTTAAGATCTGTTTTTCCAAAAGAACTTTTCTCTAAATGGAATTACTGATAGAGAGCTTTGCATGAGTTTGTTTTAAGTGCTAGTAGCAGCCAGTTAGGCTGGGGACATAAAACTTATTTTGGGGCTCCAGTGCTATGAAGACTTTTTTTTCCTTTGGTTGTAATTGTTTCCTTTTCTGATCTCCTACCTTCCTTTTGTGGAAGTTTGGAACAACTTCAAGCTCAGGCCTACTTCTGTTTTATCCTTAGCACCCCCATGTTGGATCCTCTTCTCAGATCTGGACACTTAAGCCTGAGGAATCAAAGTTTATACAGGAAGTAAGACTGTCATGAGTGGCTTTGCTGTTTTGTTAGGAGCTTTTAATAAATTGATTTCCCTTAACTCAGCTTCTTTTCCTTAGTTTGGTGTTTTATGTTCAGGGGGTTGGGACAGCTCTTGCTTCCTAATAGTCCTTGCATATGCTTGTTTTGGTCAGTTTGTTATTTCTTCTGCTACAGCTTTAGCCAATTAGTTTCATGTTTCTTTTAGAAATTCTTCCCTACCTTTTTTTCCTTTCCTTCCCTTTTTTTCGAGTTGCTTCCCCTTTCCCTCCCTTTCCCTTTCCTCATTCTCTTCCTTCCTTCTGCTTGTTGACGGGTCTATTTCTTATTTTCATATTATCATGAATTTTCTTACAGTTATGAAAAGTTTGGACATAAAACACATGTATCTACTCCACAGCTTAAATAAAAAATAAGTACAATTGAAGCTTCCTATTCTTTTCTTTGATTGTATTACACATCCTCTCATGCATCTGTTAATATTGTATGTATTTCTAAACAATAAAAAGCATTGCTTTAAATGTATTTGAGCTTTGCATAATGACATACTGCATGAATCCTGCATCTTGCTTCCTCCCCTCCCCCCCATTTCTATGGTTCTTTTCTTCATTCTCTTAGCATACTATCTTTTCTGCTGTTTCAGTAGAATTTGGATAAAGATGATATGTCAGCTCATATATTTCTAGTTTGGTTTTTTTTAAAGGGAGATTGAAGCACCTTTTGGATATATTGTCACTCTAGAAATGTAGGAAAAAAGACTTGGTGTTACCTCTTCTTGTTTCAACTGGTGATGATAGGTGAATATGACACCTGGCGATGTTATACAAGCTGGGCAATTGAGTCTTGCTGCTGACCTCTATTTGGTGTTATAAATCCTTTTGGAGACAGAGAGACACCATTCATTCATGTTTGGGTTAAGTGAGCTTCAATGAAGATTTGAGTTCTTATTGCTGGAAGACCTTTTTATAAGCCATTTAGTACAAATTGTGAAACCCAGGTTCAGAGGAGAGTGACTTGTCTGAGGTGATCCAGGGGGAGAACACAGGGATTAGAAGCCATAGTTGTGGTTCCTTATTTTCCACCTTACTGCAATGAACCAGAGGTTAAAGTCTCCCTTTGTTAACACTCAACTTTGATTTTTGCCTGTCCTTTTAAATATTTATTTGAATGCCAAGAGATTTTAGTACATAAGAATAAACATAAATCTTTGATGCTTGTTTGTGTTTTCCTTAGGATCAGAATGGTTTCAATCCCAGAATACTATGAAGGCAAGAATGTTCTCCTCACTGGAGCTACCGGTTTCCTAGGGAAGGTACTTCTGGAAAAGTTGCTGAGGTCTTGTCCGAAGGTGAATTTGGTGTATGTTATGGTGAGGCAGAAAGCTGGACAGACACCCCAAGAACGAGTAGAAGAAGTCATCAGTTGCAAGGTAAGTGGAAAATAATCATTTGGAGGAAAGGAAAAAGTATGGTGTTTGTGTGTATATTTCTTCAGTGTCCTGAAAAAATTTAATTAAAAATACTCTAAGAATGGCAGCAAACTGGGTATGAGTTGTGATCAGTAGAAGAAGAGCTTTTTTTCTGTAATGGGCAGAATTATATAACAAGTTCTAAATTAACGCTTATGGTAGATATTTAAAGTGTTTTTAGAAAATTTGAGTCAGATTATTTGTGATTTAAGTAGACTTCAGAATATATTAATAATTAAGAGGTTATTTCTAATCTATGCTGTGAGACACTGTGCTTTGATAACACTTAAAAATTTGTAAGCAGTAATTACTACCTACAACAGTATTAAAGGGTAGCAAAGTCACATATTTCTCTTTGACAAATAAGAACATGATGACAGAAGGGTCGAATAAGTCATACATTTTTGAAACTTTAGAAAAATACTGGGGTGGACAAAGGTAGGTTTACAGTTGTGAGTACATGAAACACAAGTTTATTCCTATATTATATTTATTAATTTCGGTATTATTATGCAAATAATTGTAACCCTACTTTTGCCTACCTCTGTATTGCTAAGAAAAAATGAAAATGAGCTGGAGTAAAATGATTTCACAGTCATAAGCTTTTGAATTCTTTAAAAATGAATGAATTTATCTGACATTCATTCATAGTAAGTTTAGTATAGTTATCTATGTAGTTTTTAAATTATTGGATAGGTATATGATATCTTTTAACCTCAGTAACTTATGGTTCAAAAACAAAACTAGAAACCTCTGAATCACTCTTGAGTTAAAGATTGCTTGAAAAGTCTCAAAAGATATAATGATTAATTATAAATTTACCACTCTCTAGGGTTAATCAATAATTTATTAGACATGATTTATTTTCCAGTGTGTTTTCATCTTTTACTAGAAATCCACAAAGTAGTTAATAGTTTGTTGAGTACTTACTGTATGCCAGGAACTGTGTGCAAAGCAAGACTTATGTATTTATCACAATAGCTCTTTAAGTCTGGTGTTATTCCCATTTATAAGGTCACATAGTTAGGAAGTATATGAGCCAAGATCTAATTCTGGTAGTTGACCTAGAACTTATGCTCAAGTCAGATATTGCTAGATTCCATTTTGCAAGTATGGACAATGAGTTTCAGAGGTTATAATTTTATCTAAGATTATGGGGCTAATGGTGGAGATAACACAGATGACTTGATCATAAGTCCCTATTATTTTTTCATTTTATAACATTACTTCCCCAATAGATAAGAAAATAAGAGAAAAGTGATGGGAGGGCTTTGTGGTAAACTGGGAGTTGCATAGCTTACTAGTTGCAAGAGTTGTAGCTGGTACACTGAGTGAAAGTAGCTTAATTCCCAAAGCTAATGGCAATTCGTGCCCAAGTTGACAAAAATTAGAAGAGAAAATGACAAAGAGCATAAAAGAAGAGCAGAGAAAAACACAGGTAACACAGCAGGAAGAGTCAGGTTATGGGTTAGGGCAATAATGGGAAGCATATTTCCTGGAAGTGATAAAATATGGTAACAGAAGAACAATTATGAGAAAAAAACCTGTATAGAAGTTCAGGGGGTTAAAATATAATTTCTTAATTGTCTTAACATCACAGCACTATAATAAAATACAGTAACCAATATTAACATGGTGACTTAGGATGAATTAAAAGACTAAATTATATTTAGAATGTTTTCTTTACTGAGATATTTATTGTTTGGGAATGATTTCTATTCAAATATAATTTTGGTTCAGAAAGGTGAACTTCACTTATATGTGGAACATCCATATTTTCCTTGTTTATATTTCCTCCCTTATAAGAGGTAATCTTATACCCACACAGTTTTAACAGTGAGGTATAAATTAATAGTTTCTCCTTTTAAAATAAATTATTTGGTACTATTACTATGCAATTAAAGAATAAAAATAATGCTTACTTTTATCTCCACTTTTCACTTTATTAATTCAGTTTTCCCCCACATGAACATTTTAAGTAATTCTTACTTCTATTGGAAAAACTAATTTGCTCTAAATTACTGTTTTTAAAATAGACCTACTCTTTTGAGAGTTACTCAGTGATAGTATAACTCATATAGCTAATTACTTTTGTAACGTTCTCCCCGTTGCCTCAAATTCTGAAGCACTTGTGTTTTTCCCTCCTACCACAAAGATACATGGAGTCCTCTGTACAGTAGGGTTTCTTCAGGTTAACAGAGATATAGCAGTGAAGTCCCAGCATTTGGGGAATTTACATTCTAGTTAGGGAGACAAGCTAATAAATACATGTTGAATAGTGATACGTGCTGTGCAAAAAAGTAAAGCAGATAAAGGAGATTGAAAGTGATGGAGGTGCCACGTTAGATCCAATGGTCAGAAGAGTTCTCTGAGGTGACACTTGAGCAGAAACCTGAATGAAGTGAGGAAGAATCCCTGTGGGAATGTAGAGGAAGAGTTTTTCAAGCAGAGGAATTGCAAGGGCAAAGGCTCTGAGATGGGAACTGCTTGATAGGTAGAAGGAGCATCAGGACAAGCTGTGCTTTTTATTACACTGGGAGCTATATAAAATATGTGACTAAATACTAAGTGCCAGGGTATTCTCTACCAACATTCCTCTCTCTCCACTGAGCTTTCTGCCTCCTAAAATACAATAAAATTGTTTATTATTATTTTACATTTTTATTTGTTTGACTTGAAGAAGACTTCAGACAAATAAATGTTTATATTTATACATGAGAAAAGTGTAGCTGGTATAAACTCAAAGAATTACCACATGAGGTTTCTAGATACTTATTTTTATTTTTTATTTTTTATTTTTTAAATATATTTTTATTGATTTTTGTACAGAGAGGAAGGGAGAGAGATAGAGAGTTAGAAACATCGATGAGAGAGAGTCATCGATCAGCTGCCTCTTGCATACCCCCTATTAGGGATATGCCCGCAACCAAGGTACATGCCCTTGACCGGAATTGAACCCGGGACCCTTCAGTCCCCAAGCCATCGCTCTATCCATTGAGCCAAACCGGTCTCGGCTAGATACTTATTTTTAAAAGTAAAATGGGAGTTAATATTTCAATATTTACCAGCATAAACAAAATAACTGTGATTGAAGGATTTGCCATCTTTTTAAAAAAAATATATATTTTATTGATTTTATACAGAGAGGAAGGAAGAGAGAGAGTTAGAAACATCGATCAGCTGCCTCTTGCACAACCCCTATTGGAGATATGCCCACAACCAAGGTACATGCCCTTGATCGGAATCGAACCCGAGACCTTTCAGTCCCCAAGCCGACACTCTATCCATTGAGCCAAATCAGTTTCTGCAGAATTTGCCATCTTAAAAGTATGGGGGGTACATACTTTTAAGATGGCAAATCTTTTTTCTTTTTTTTTTTTCTTTTTTTTTTTTTTTAATATATTTTATTGATTTTGTACAGAGAGGAAGGGAGAGAGATAGAGAGTTAGAAACATCGATGAGAGAGAGTCATCGATCAGCTGCCTCTTGCACACCCCCCACTGGGGATATGCCTACAACCAAGGTACATGCCCTTGACCGGAATCGAACTTGGGACCCTTCAGTCTCCAAGCCGATTGAGCTAAACCGGTCTTGGCCAAAGTTCATTTTCAGTTTTTCTCCCCAACAAGTGGGATGGACTGAGTTCTAACACTTGAGAAAATTTTTTGAATTGATAGATTGACTGCAGTGTAATGCAGATGGATATCATTACCTTGTAGCTATACTTTTCCATATCTGCCAAATAGATTGGAAGATTCTTTTTATTTAAAGGCAGTGTATCACTCGAACTTTGTTTCTGGATCCCTTACCCTCTTAAAAATTGAGTACTTAAAAGAGGTTTTATTTTGTGAGGCTTTGCTTCATTATCTTACTGATGTTTATCATAGTAGAAATTAAAAAACAAACTTTGAAGAATATACAAGCAAAAAAAAACAATATACAAGCACACATTCCATTAGTCATCAAAATAATGATGTCATCACACATGTAGCTTTTGGAAAATTCCTCTACACTTGTGAAAGAATGAAAATGAAAAATGCAAATATTGTGTTAGTGATAGTATGAAAATAATTTTGACCTGGTGTACTACCTAAAATACAGTCCTGGGATCCTTAGCACGTGAGAACTGCTGCTGAGTAAGAGTGTACAGTGTTGCTTAGATCATTTGGGAGCAGCCTGCTAGTACCTTCTTATGAATATACCTGATAGGGGCAAATGTTCATACTTTAAGGAAAAAGTTGACTTTAACAGATATCTACAGTTAATTTGAATCTAAGCTTGGAGGAAGGATTCAGAGAATGAAGCTGGGGTTAAAATAGCATGGGCTCAAATTTAGTGCACATAAGGGATCTGACTCTGTAGGCATATCTCCAAAAGGAATTTCATCTTTTTAAAAAAAATATATATTTTATTGATTTTATACAGAGAGGAAAGGAGAGAGATAGAGAGTTAGAAACATTATAGTATTTATTCTTATTCATTTTTTTATTTTTCAGAAAACATTTATTGTGTATACTTAGTGCTAAATATTTGATTTGATGCAGGGGCTTGTATCCAGGAATAAATGAGATAGAGTCCCTGCCTCAATAGAGCCTACAGTCCAGAGAGTTTTTAAGAGGGAAGAGGAAAGGAAGAGAGAGTAGAGGTGTCAAGAAAGGTAGGATAGGAGCAGTTATTGAAGCTGATGTCTTGGTTGAAATTGAGGGCCTGAGTATGTGGGGTCTCCCTGTGGGGTCTCCAGGGCAGTGCTTCCTCCATGGAAGGTCTACTGTAAAAAAAATTATTACCTTCCACTTATTATAATGTCTGAAATTTCACTGAACGTTTTTTGGGTTAGTCTAAACATCTGGCCATTATTTTTAATAAAAATATGCATTTCCCCTCAATATTTGTCCAAATAAATATTTTACTAAACTACTTCATACATTATATCCTTTTTCTTATGCATTTAACTCCTGTCTAGCACATCCTGCCACAATCCTAGGGCTACTCATTCTCCATTATCTATAGCATCAATAAAATGAGTTCTTTTTATGAAAAGTAGCAATGAATATACACTTAAAGTTAGTAAGAAAGTTAAAAGTAAGCCTATAATGATTTTGAAACAGGAATAAAGAGCGTAGGCATAAAGCATACACCGATGAATAGTGGGACATTCATTGTCTTATGGTAGTTTCTCAACTTCAGCACTTTTAACATTTTGGGCCAGATAATTCTTTGTTACGGGAAGCTGTCCTGTGCATTGTAGGGTCACAGCAGCATTCCTGACCTCTACTCACTATATGCAGCTGCTGCTTTCCCTCACCCTACCAGTGTGACAGCCAAAAATGTTTCCAAACAACACCAAATCAATCTTTCCTGAAGGCAGAATGGTTCCAACTTGAGAACCACTGATTTATAGGAATGCCTCTGGGAAAAGAAACTCCACCGGACGGCGAGGATTAAATTAAAATAGTTGACCAAGAAATACATTTTGTAAGAGTTAGTATATTAAAGAGGGCGTTAGTGAGTGGAAGAAAGCAGGAGCTAATTGGAGTACCATTGGGGGAAAATGGTATTGAGTAAAGAGATGGTGACTAGAGAAGGGAAAGTATTAAGTTTGTGATGTAACTTGTGAAGCAGCATGATCATGTCATATGAAGAGGTATTGAAGGTCATTAGCAATCTGGGAGGATGAAAGCATGTGGAATAAAAAAAAATGTGTATTCAAGGTGTTAAAAGTACTTTCCTGGTCACTGCTCAGATTCTATTTTACTCTGCTTATCCTTTAAATATTAATATTCTTCAAAGTTTGGTTCTAGGCCTTGATCTCTTCTTACCCACTCTGGTTAAGTGATTACTCAGCATGATCTGTTTTATGTTACATTAATAGTTGTGTTTTAAATTGAATTTGGAAAAAGCCTCATGTGGTCTGAACTTTGGGTACCTATCACTGCTGCTACCAGGTGTATTAGTAAGGTCTGTATCCGTTTGGCTCTCTTGTCCCTGAACTCCAGACCCACAGAGCCAGTTACCTTACGATCTGTCTTCTGGGGTGTCACATAGGCACTTTACACTCAACATTCACAAAATAGTTTTTGAAAAACTTTCAAAAACTTGTATCTTTGTAACTGTACTACTTTCACTTCCAGTGTTTTCCACCCAATGAGTTTCTTTCTTTTTTTTTTTTCTTTTTAAAAAAACATATATTTATTGATTTTTTACAGAGAGGAAGGGAGAGGGATAGAGAGCTAGAAACATCGATGAGAGAAACATCGACCAGCTGCCTCCTGCACGCCCCCTACCGGGGAAGTGTCTGCAACCCATGTACAAACCTGAGACCTTCCAGTCCGCAGACCGACGCTCTATCCACTGAGCCAAACTGGTTTTGGCCCCAGTAGGTTTTTCTTGTTGCAAGCTGCAGCTGTGGGTTTAGTGACTCCTATTTCCGTGAAATCCATGTTCTGTCATGTGTGGGCCCTGAAGTCAGCTTCTCCAGGTTGAATTCCAGGGTGTCCTCTGACAGAGACTTTCTTTGAAACTGCTCCGCTGGCTCTTGAGAGTTTATTTCTTAACAAATGTATATCATGTCAGTATTGCTAAACACTCTACTATTTATATTTAGGGCCTGCATGGTGAGCAACAGATATTACTCCTGTCCTCATGGAGTTTATATTCCTTATCTCTCATATCAAGCCATTGTGCTTACTGAATTACTTTTTAAAAAATATATATATTTTTATTGCTTTCAGAGAAGAAGAGGAAGGGAGAGAGAGATAGAAATATCAATGATGAGGAAGAATCATTGATCAGTTGCTTCCTGCAAGCCCCGCATTGGGGATTAAGTTCGCAACCTGGACATGTGTCCCAACTGGGAATCTTAACTGTGACCTCCTGGTTTATAGGTCGATGCTCAACCACTGAGCTACGCTGACCAGGCTCCTGAATTATTTTTAATTTCCCAGATTTATCAATCCTCTCTCACTTATAAGTGGTTATACATGCTACTTCCTCTGCCTGGAACACGATTCTTCTACTTGATATAATCGTATGTCTTTCCCAAGTTTGGTTAGTTGTTTCTCCTGTGCTGTGTGATAGCAGTGTAATATTACTCCTATTTTATTACCTATAACACTAGATTTAATTGTTCATTCACTTGTCTAGTTTTTCCTTGTAAATTAAAGTCTGGATTTGAGAAATCTGAATAATCATTTTAAACGTTGTCCTGATATTTGCACTGCTACATCTATTCTGAGTGATAATATAACCTAATCAACAGAGGCAATTAAAATTTAACTATGCAAGCTACCAGCTCTGTATCTTGGGCAAGTTACTTAACCTCCCTGATTCCTCAGATTCCTCATCTATGAAATGGGGATAATAATGTGTACTTTATAGGATGTTTTCTACACAGAATGATAACAGTTAAGAATAGCAATGTTAGGATTTTTATAGTCGAAGCTTTAAAAATAGAGATCATTAGTGGAAAAGAGGGAGATGATCATGTGTTCTAGAAAGTTGAAAAGTGCTGCCCTAAACTATATTTTCCCCTTTGATAGCTTTTTGACAGATTGAGAGATGAAAATCCAGATTTTAAGGAGAAAATTGTAGCAATCAACAGTGAACTTACCCAACCAAAACTGGCTCTAAGTGAAGAAGATAAAGAGATCATCATAGATTCTACCAATATTATATTTCACTGTGCAGCTACAGTAAGGTTTAATGAAAATTTAAGGTAAGTAAAGATATTTATCTGATATTTGAACTTAAGCATGGTTAAGAGATCTAATTTGAATTCTACTTTTCAGTCAAATTGTTTTGAAAATGATTTGAAACTGTTACTTGTAGCTTTCAGTGTCCTACATAGTGAGAGAGAAAAAAGAATTTCCTTTTTCGTGTTAGCAGTTTAAAAAGATTGGGTAGCTAGTGTATATTTATTAGAAGTTGCCATGTATCTTAATATAGGTCAGGGGTTTTTTAGTATGAAATAGTTAAATCTAAGAGATATTTCCCCCCACAGTTCTAGCTTTTATTATTTTTTACTTTTTTCATAACCAAAAGAAAGAGTTCACACAGCTGTAAGGAAATGTTTTCAAGAAAAAGTACATAAATACTAGGTAATTGTGGTATGTATAGTCCTCATTGAACAGGCAACATTTGTTGGGGTGAAGCTCATCAGAGTGCAGTACTTTCAGGGTACCTTCTTTCTTTCTGTTCCCTGGGGGTAAGCAAGGCTACCATTAATGGGAGGGAAATATTCCATAGAGGATGGGGTCGATAGGTGAATAAGAAAATTTATTGTTCTTTTCTTCCTTGTCAAGGCATATAGGTTTGTTGACCAAAGCGCCTCATCATTGAAATCATTATTTTCTATGAAGCAATTTTAATGATGATACTACAACATTAGATTTGGGCCAGACAATCTAAAACACTGTAGGTTGGCATATAATAACTACTTACAAAACAATTGCTCTTTATAACCACTTTTTAGGTTTAACCCACAAATAAAAATTGGCATATTGTACTCAATATTTTGGGGGAGTCCAAGATAAATTGCCCACAGATCCTATTTGCAAAGTCCATACAATCTAATATAGGAGTAAGAATATGCTTAAAGAACCATAATATAGATAGAAAATTAGGGGTTACTGAAAAGAACATTAAGGGTTGTAATAGGTGTTCAGAAAGAAGTGGAAGTAGAGATTGATTGTTAGAAAAGATCAAGAAACTTGCATCTAAGAGTATTGATTCTTAAACTTTAGAATCTTAAACTTTAGAATGTATTCCAAATTTCAAGAACTTTTGGAAGATGTGTTAAAGGGCACAGTTTTTGACTGTACATGCCAACTTTAGATCGTCTAATTTTGGGACAATACCCAGAACTCCTCATTTTTAGCTAGAGCCTTGGATGTGATTTAAATTATAGGTGTCTGGGTCTCCTACCGTAAAACTGATTCATTGGTCCATAGACCTCTGTGTTTGTGTATAGCTTCATTAAGTTTTTTAAAAATCAACAATAGTGAGGTCTCATCTAGATAATATTTACTCAGAGGTGGGGAGAAGGGGAATTTATTTATTGATCGATTTTATCCTCACCTGAGGACATTTTTTCCGTTGATTTTCAGAGAGTGGAAGAGAGAAGGAAAGACAGAGAGGAAAAGACACATTGATTGGTTGCCTCCTGCATGAACCTCCATCAGGGCTTAGACCAGGGAAGAGCCTGCAACCAAAGTACATGCCCTTGACCAGAACTGAACCTGGAACGCAGGCAGATACTTTATCTATGAGCCAAACCAGCGAGGGCGAGGGGAACTTATTTAAAATACAGTTGCACAGGTTTCACTTCAGGTATTAACAAGTGTTTGAGGATGAGGTCCAGCAATCGACATTTTACAAAATAATTGATTTTAGGGAGGAAGTGAGCGGGAGAGAGAGAGAAACATCAAGGATGAGAGAGAATCATCAAAGACTGGTTGCCTCATGTGCATCTCCAGTAGGGGATAGAGCCCACAACATAGGCATATGCCCTGACCGGGAATCAAACCAGTGACCTCTTGGTTCCTCATTGCTCAATTGCTGAGCTATACCTGGCTGGGCACAATCCGCATTTTTAAATAAGCTCTCAGGTGTCTGTCATGCCAAGTGTGAGATCTTTGGTTTATAGTCAGAGTATTATCAGCAAATGTTTTGAACAACCCAACTTGTCTATAGAAGACAAGGTGATCAAGAAAATTTACTGGCGCTCAAAAATTTTTTCTTTAAAAAAAAAAGTGATTTCTGTGTCTACATTTATTCATAATGGACCATAAATACAAAGATTTGTTCATTCCCCCCACACCTACTTCAAAGTCACTCTTATTTAGTATGCACTTATAGCTCCAGATAACCAAAATATAATGACAGCATTGTTTTTGTTTAGTACTAAATGCTTTCTGATCTAACACTCGGGGTCTTAGCCTGAATTTCAATGGAGTAGAAATTGGATGGTGGTAAAATAGAGTGAGGTTACTAGCCTGGCAGTGATACTAAGAGTTACTTATGTTGACACAAAATGGCTTCAGGTTTGGGCTTTCAGGTGCAGATGGGCGGAGGAGGAGTAGAAAGGCACAGAAGTGTTTCCTCTCTCAAGCTATTCCTTATTTTCAGTGACCCAGAAACTCTGTCACCATCCTCAGGAACCTGTAACAGAATATCCTTTGTGTTCTGCTTCCAAAACATTACTGTCCTTACACCTATTGTTTTGCAAATGCAAAAGAAAAGAGCCCATTGCTTTACAGTCTAGTGGATAGTACAGTACCCTCTCTGTGAAAGGTCTTTTCTGCCGGATTTCCATTTGAACAGATTCCCTCCCTAAGTTGAGATAAGGAAGAAAAAGATACACTCATGATTGTAAGACCCCAACCCAATTAGTTCACTTTAAAAAAATTTCCTTCTAATATATTTGATAGGCTCTTGGATATCATTAAATTAAGAGAAAAAAATAAGGCATAGGGGTTTTTACCTTTCATGAATTATTTCTTGTTCCTGGTGACCCAGAACTTCTTGTCCAGTCCTTAGGAACCTGTAACAGAATGTTCTCTGTATACCTCTTCCAAACATTGTTTTTACAAATGCGGTAGACATCAAATCACTGCTTTGCAGTCCAGTGGGCCAGATTCTGTGACAATCCTGGCCCCTTAAAAAGGTTGGATTTTTTTCTTAAATACTGGAAATATAAGAATTTTAGAAAGTACTCAAAACTTTTTATTTTTTAAAAAAAATTTCTTGCAGTCTATCATTGGACATATATTGTTTTACATAAAATGTAAACTTAGAATTTCTATTTTACTTAGAAATAACTTCCCTATTTCTAATTTTTAAATAGTTATAATTTTCATAGTATGGTGATATTCTTTGTTGATATAGCATAATTTTAAAAAATATATATTTGATTGATTTTTTACAGAGAAGAAGGGAGAGAGAGAGAGAGAGAGTTAGAAACATCGATGAGAGAGAAATATCGGTCAGCTGCCTCTTGCACACACCCTACTGGGGATGTACCCGCAACCAAGGTACATGCCCTTGACTGGAATCAAACCCGGGATCTCAGTCTGCAGGCAGACGCTCTATCCATTGAGCCAAACCGGTTTCGGCTGATATAACATAATTTATGTGATGTTTATTTAGTATAGAAAATTTAAAGATTTTTAATTTTCTGTTTGAAAAGTTTGGGTTAAAATTTTTTTCTCTAAGTTAATTTTAGTATGTTAACTAGATAAATAACTATCATTTCTATAATTTCTGGTACTTGGTCCTAGTCTCTTTTGGATCCTGGTGTCCAAAAGTTATATCACATACAGTGTCACCTACAATATATTACCATTCCAGTTTTATCACAGTATTACTGGTATTTCAGATATTTTCCCACTCAGATATTAAGCTGTAAACAAATATTTTGACGGAAAACAAAAACTATCCACCATCTTATTACCTTAAATAATATTTATTGAATGGTTGTTTGGGACTGTATTAGGAATAATGCTAAATATTTATAAGCTATTTATTCCGTATTTTCTGGCGTATAAGATGACCCCCCTAATTTTACAGTTAAAACAGGGTTAGGCCTATATTCGCTGTATAAGACTACCCCCCACTTCCGAGGCAACACCAGTTCTTTTTTTAATAGACCGCCTCTCTGACTCTGGCCAATCTGAGCAGGTTTTTTTTTTCGTTTCAAAAGTCATCTTATACGCCGGAAAATACGGTGATTTAATTTTATACAAATCCCATCAGATAGATCCCATCATTATTCCCATTTACAGGTTAGAAAACTGAGGCCTGAATGGTTGAGTGACTTTACCAGGTCACCTAATCCTAGCTGATAGGTAGGCCAAGCTACTATTTAAACCCAGGTCTTATTCCAGAGTCCTGTTCTTAATCTTGCTTGATTTCATAATGTGTGTATTTTTTTAATATTCATTTAGATTTTTCCATATTTTATAGTTGTCATAATTATTTTAATGGCTATATTCTTTCATTGTGATAAAATGATTACTTTATTAAATCGTTTGTTCTTAGTGAATATTTGGACTCTCTAGGCTATTATTACTAGATGATGTTTCATTGATTTTTTTTCCCCTTCATATTTACTTTTGTATTTGTGGAATTATTTCTAATAAATTTTAAGAAGGGAATGTATAGATCACTTTTTGATCTTGCATGAGTATTGTAAAATATGTACTAGTCCTATATAATAAATAATATAATATGATAAGTGTCTGGTCATCCGGTCATCTGTTCAACCAATCAAAGAGTAATATGCTAATGATATGCTAAGGACGCTCAAACATATTCTTATTTGGTTATATGTTAGTACAATTGAACTAACATATAACATATTAGTGACTCTGCTTTAGCATTTTAGAATTACTTAACAATTCTAATTCTTATGGTACATCTGTATCATAAAATAGTATACTTTTAAAAGTCAGGATGCAAAAGAAGTCTAACATGATTTAAAAAGGGCTACTGAAAAGCCAGAGATGCAGAAATAATTTTATATTTATTTCTGAGTAATTTAAAATTTTTAACTTGTACTTTTATTTAAAAGTTCTAGTTAGATTTATTTTATAAGCAGAAAATATTTATTTTTAATCATGACTGATAGAATGTATATACTTTATATTGAAATAAAATACACAAAATCAGAGCTAAGGGATCAGTTGTAAAGAAACAAACTGTCTCTCAATCTCTCTCTAATAGAAATAAGATTTATTTCAGCAAATAAATAAATGACATAGCTTTCTAATTTTTTATTGCTTTTTCTTTTACAGAGATGCTGTTCAGTTAAATGTTATCGCTACACGACAGCTTATTTTCCTTGCACAACAAATGAAGAATCTGGAAGTGTTCATGCATGTGTCAACAGCATATGCTTACTGCAATCGAAAGCATATTGAAGAAGTAGTCTATCCACCCCCTGTGGATCCCAAGAAACTGATTGATTCTTTAGAGTATGTTTGTTTGAAATTTATATACATTTACTTTGATCCTAAAATTTTGGACTTTAGATCCAAGTTTATTTATATGTATCTCTTGGTCAATTTCAGTTTCTCTTTTTCCACCCCTTTACACACACATCTTTTTTTTTTTATTCAACAAGTTATTACATATTTATTATGTGGTTTGTTTTTTTATATGGATTTATATCTAAATGTTGTAATGTGAAGCTTTCTCTTTTGATTAGGTGTGTTGATTGGAAGCAGGCTTTGAACAGACTCATTAGGGCCTCTGTTTTCCAGAGATTCCATCTTAGTGATCTGAAACTACAGGGACTAATGGCTACCTATTCATTAGCAAGTTTTTAATTTATTAAAATATTATCTTTTTTATTATGAACCAATGGGGTATGTCTGTAGGGGTACCTTTAGTTATTAGAGAGTCAGAGGAGTCATGGTCCTTTAATTGATATTCTGTATGTTACTGTTTGTCATCTTTCTAAGGGCTAGGATCCTATCAACAACTATTACATGGTAGATATTTTGGATATGATTAAGGGAAGTATGCTTATGCCATGGCCAATGTTTCATTTCCTTTGCTCAGCCTGTGCTTTCTTGTCAGGTGAAACAACACAGGATCAGAACAAAAATAAAAATCTTTTTTCTTTTATAATTATAAAAACCTTCCAGTAGTCATCCTATCTTCACATACTTGTTAATCCTCATATAATATTACTGTAGTCTTTTATTTCCCTTTTCTTATCTGTTTCTCTTAGATCTTTCTTCCCAGAGATTCTATCACTTTCAGTTCCTTAATTATTTCCTGCTTTCTCAGTCCAATTCATTTTCCTCCAAGAGTGCTTTAGTGTTCTTAGCTCTTTCTCCAAGTTTTCTCCTAAAATAAGCAGATAGGTCATTTTCTTTAAAGCTTCCTTGCTAAGCACTATCGGGAAGCAGACAGTTTATAATGAAATTAATAAGCATGTGAGTTTACTGAGACATTCTTAGGCTAATTTCTTGGTTTTGTTTATGACTATTTCTTAGATGGTCCTAAATATCTACCTCATTTTCTTCATAGGTCAGTAGATAGAAGTTGTTAATATCTCTGGGTAAAGTTGAGTGGGAGTTAATGAAGCTTTTTACTTTTTCTCTTATTAGTATTTAGTATATCCGAATACTTAAGTTGCCAAAAAAAAAAAAAAAAAAAAGAGTAACCTAGATGTAACCTTCTAGTTTTATATCTTCTTTCCTTGCTTACAAAGAATTGTGGCTAACAGATAATTTTAAGATAATTCATGGATTGCATCTGTAAATTCACGTTAGTGATTAGGCTTTACTGGCTAAAGTCTCTCCTCCATTTGTCAGTTTGTTGTTTTTTTCTTTTAATCTCTTCCACATTTCAAAAGTTGTCTCCACTTCGGAGTTTTTCTAAGTTGATTAGCAACTGCCCTTTAATTTTATTAGTATTCTTTTTCCTTCATGCATTAAAAGTACTTTCACATACAAAAGAATATTTATCTTGATAATCTCTAATTTATACTTCTTTATCAGTTAGTATGGTTGTCATTAAAGTGTGACAGTACACTGAATATATAATTATGTATTTGTAGAATTATAGATAGTAAGGGAAAAGTATCTGAAAACAAATATATAACATTGGAATCAGATATTTATACTGGGAAAGACCATACTTATCACCCAGTACTATATAATCTTCCTTTTACAGATTATCAGAGTAGACTTTTTCTTTAGATACACTGAGAAAGTTGTAGGAATTTTAGAATTTCATAGTAGGTTGCTAATTGAGTTGTTCCACTGTTTAAATAAATACCCTTATTTATTTATTTTAAAATTATTTGGACAATGATAGCTCTGCAAAATACTTCTCTCATCCCAAATCCTCAAACCCTTTTAACATGTTCTTCCTAAAGAAACAAATATTCATACTTTTACCCATTCACAACTAATTTTTAAAAACATATAAGACTCAAAATCAAATAATATATTTCTTTTCCAGAACTCATTAGTAATTTTTCATTTCCCTTTAATCTCTTAATTTCCCTGAGAATATGTTTTTATTGATTTGAGAGAGAGAGAGAAACATCAATGTGAAAAAGAAATGATTTAGTAATTTATCAGTTGCCTCCCTTAAGTGCTCCTTTCAGGGATCTAACCCACAACCTAGGTATTCCTGACCAGGAATCGAACCCACAGCCTTTTGGGATGACCCTCCAACTAACTGAGCCATCTGGCAAAGGCAGGAACTCATTAGTAATTTTAAACCACAGTGCAGCATACTTAATGGCGTTTCTTTTTAAAAATTAGTTTATCAGACTATTTTATGAGGGAGAAGAAATCAATTCAGAGCCTTAGAGAGACTAGAAAGTCCTTGTTTCTGAAAGCAAATGACATTGAAAAGCCTCTTTGCTCCCTTAGAGTTTGTAATTTCTACATTACTATTAGAACCAGCTCCCAGGTAGACTTTCTACTTCATATTAGGCCTTGCTCAGCTACTTTTGGACTACAGCAGAAAAGCTGTGAAGTGTAAAAGGAGGGGCGAGTGGGAAGGGATAATTCCAGCACAAAAGAGGGACGAAGCTGGAATGGAAGTTTTCTGAGCAGCAAAATAAAAAAAACAGCCAAATTCCTACGATCCCGCCTCTTGACAGGTTTGTTTGGGATAGATCGTAGGAAATCTTCAAGCTGTACTAATTTCTGGATGATGAATACAAGTATCAGCTAAAATATTGTACTTCATCCTAGAGGCATGTAAACCACTGAGAGTTTCCTGGCCATTGTGGCTGAGTTGGTTGGAACTTTCCCCCATGCACTGAAGAGTCTTAGGTTAGATTTTTGGTCAGGGTACATACCTGTGTTGCATGTTCTGTCCCTGCCCAATTCCCCAGTTGGGACGTGTACAAAAGGCAACTGATCAACATCTCTCTCTCTCCCCCACTTTCCTTTCTGCTCTAAACAAAACAAAACGAAACAAAAATACCCCCTGGTGAGAATAAAAAACAACAAACAAACAAAAAAACCTCAGAAAAACACAAAGAATGTTCCAAAAATATTAGCTGCAGATGAAAATTATGCCCTAATTGAATTTTATAGCATTGATTCATTTTATTTTATTGTTTACCTTAATTTCTGTTAGTCTCATTAGTGAGAGCATACAGTTTTCAGTAACATTGAAATTACTAGGTCTTTTCTATTAATTGTAAATGTATGTTCATTGCAAGTGTGTATAAGATATATGTTATGTATAAGATATATGTTATGGTGTTCGGAATTCCTAATGTGAAATATAGTTCCTAATTTAAAACCCATGGGTCCAGATGTATTTTGGAATGAATAGTCACACTGAGTTCTCTAAAATAAAAAATACGGAAAAAAAAAAATCATAAATCAGTTCATATCAGCTTTGCTACCTACCATATGATTTATGAAAGAACTATATTTTTGGATATAGAAATTGAGTATAAGATATATCTACTTGTATTTGATGTATAATGAAAGGAAGACTAACTTGCATATTTTTAGTAAGAGTTGTCAAATCATTAGGGTCAGAGCAATAGATATGTTTGAATATACAATTTTAAATTTAATTTTATAGTAAAACATCTGAAAACATTTCTACATACTTTTCTTTGTTTACCAGATGGATGGACGATGGCTTAGTAAATGATATCACGCCCAAATTGATAGGAGACAGACCTAATACATACATATACACGAAAGCATTGGCAGAATATGTTGTACAACAAGAAGGAGCAAAGCTAAATGTGGCAATTGTAAGACCATCAATTGTTGGTGCCAGTTGGAAAGAACCTTTTCCAGTAAGTTGTTAAGACATCTTTTAAATAATTATAATTGAAAATTTTAAAATAATCGGCAGTTGCTTGATTTAAGAGCAGATGCTATTCACTGAATATGACTTAATATGGCAGAGCTGTTTCCATTCATAGAAAAGAGACATATCTATTGGTACTTCTACTTCTAATTTAATGTTTGTTTAGGAATGCAGATAAACATTTAAAAGATCTTAATTGGGACTCTCATGTTAACTCAATCAAAGGAGATCTTGCCCCATATTTTTTCTTTGTGATTGATGAACTTGGACTTTTAACACATCAATATTTGTTGGCTTTTAAAATTATTTACTGACTAGTGACCTGGTACACAGATTCGTGCACATTGAAAGGAAATTAAATAGAAGTTGGCTGGTGGGGCGGGATTGGGTGAGACGGGCCATACATGCCCTGGAGCCAACCTCCCCTGGTCCCTTCCCGGTATTTACAGAGTAAGTGGGGTCCCTCTGGCAGGTGGGGTCCCGTGGTCTGGCCTACGGGGATCAGAGGAGTTCGGAGTGCGTTTTATGTATATAGATTAGCTTTCATTGCAGAAGTGAAGGGAATAGTGATAAAAATATTCAGGATCTTATTTTATTTCATTGGCTTTTTAGTATTAAATAGAGGCAAGCCTTCTAAGAGGTAGATTCTTCCATGAGAGAGTTCTATGGTAATATAGGAAAGGAAGGCATTATGGTATTTCTGAATCTCTGGAGTAAGAGCAAACATAGATATAAATTAATAGACAAGTTGATTTAGGAAAAAACTAGGTTTCTATAACTGTAGTAAGTGAATGTCTTTTGTTGCTTTGACAATTCTGTTTTCCTGTTTTATTTAGTAATTTTGAGGGTAATTTACCATTTCCTCTAATCAAGGTACTGTATCAGTAAATTGCATAAAATCAAACTTGAGCAGGCCTTGTTTAACAAAAATATTGGACAGGTATAAACTCCTTTTTATAAAATTCTTCTTGCAGAGAATTAAAGGAAGAGTAGGTAACCCCTTGAAAATTACTTTACTTAACCATTTTCAATTCCAGAGAAGCATCTATTTAGGAAGAGGAGAAATAGTCTGACATGAATCTAGTCTAATTTTTAGTTTTTAGAGTAAAATTACCAAATATATGTGTGGAGTTGCAGATTTCATGTAATAAATTCCTAGCCTCATAATACTTATAAGCTTCCTACTTTTGTTTATTTTTTGTATTAGGGATGGATTGATAACTTTAATGGACCAAGTGGTCTCTTTATTGCGGTAAGTTAATCTTTTGATTTCTTTAATATTCTATATCTTCTTTAGTTTTCTGTATACCTTTATATGTATATATGCACTCTGATTTACGTATCTTAAGGTGTTGTTTTTAATTTTACCAAAGGCAGGGAAAGGAATTCTTCGAACAATGCGTGCTTCCAACAATGCCCTTGCAGATCTTGTTCCTGTAGATGTAGTTGTCAACACGAGTCTTGCGGCAGCCTGGTATTCCGGAGTTAATAGGTATATGAGGTGACAATGTTGCTTGTTAAATATATAGTAACAGAAGGGAAAATAGACCTACTGACTGATATTAATCCTTCAATCCTGACGTTACCATATCAATATATAGGGTGTCCCCAAAAATGTATACATTGAATAATTAAGAAGGCATTGTTCATTAAAATTTCATTTTCAAAATTGAGCTCTCAGCTGTTAAAGTGCATATACATTTTTTTGGGACACCCTGTATATCACTTCCAACTGCATACATTGGCTTATTACAGTCAATAATAGCAAGTGGTTCTGTTAGTAGTAATTACGAGTTAACATGAACTGTCATGTACTAACTACAGGTTGGGCAAGTTAATTAGGTAATAACAATGAACCCACCCCCAACCAATAATTTTTTTAATCCAAACTGAAGTGTGGTATGAACTTGGCATAAAAAGTGAAAATTCACAGAGAATGGCGTATATAAATCAAACATGTCACACTAGAGCAGCTTTAATCAACTAATGGAGCCTCCTTTTAAAATGTAGTAGCATTATAAGCAAAACCTAAACTTTGAGCTTTTCATTAACTTTGTTTTATGGATAAACTGCTGTTATTTTTGAAGCTTGTATTTTTTATGTTTTCATAAAGGGATATAATTATAGGAATAGATGGTTTCTGGTAAAAGGGAATCAGCCCATAATATTTTCAACTAGAGCTTCTGAAAATGGGAAAGAGATAAGAAGAGCTGAGATTATTTGTTGTTGTTGTTTTATATTTATTTTGTTAATCCTCACCAAAGGAGAAACACCAATCCATCAATTGGTTGCCTTCTGCATGAGCCCCAACCAGGGCCCGGACTGGGGAGGAACCTAAAGTACATGCTCTTGACCAGAATTGAACTCAGGACTCTCTGGTCCGCAGGCCAACACTCTATCCACTGAGCCAAGCCGGCTAGGGCAGTGGTCGGCAAACTCATTAGTCAACAGAGCCAAATATCAGCAGTACAATGATTGAAATTTCTTGTTTTGAGAGCCAAATTTTTTAAACTTAAACAATTTCTAATGCCACTTCTTCAAAATAGACTCACCCAGGCCATAGTATTTTGTGGAAGAGCCACACTGAAGGGACCAAAGAGCCGCATGTGTCTGGCGAGCTGCAGTTTGCTGACCATGGGGCCAGGGCATTTAAAAATACACTTCTACTCATACAAAGGAGAAATTTTTTTTTTTAAAAAGTCAGTATTTTTAAAGTAATATTAGTAGGGAAGGGGGCAAAGTGGTAAATCTTTTAAGAATAATTTAAAAATATAGCAAAGGTACCATAATTTTTTCCTACTTGAAATCATGTAAGATTTAGATTGGACAAGTTTGGCCTCTTTTTATATTTCATTGCTGTGATCTTTGTTTTTGCAGACCAAGGAACATCATGGTGTATAATTGCACAACAGGCAGCACTAATCCTTTCCACTGGGGTGAAGTTGGTATGATTTTACTTGTGTTTTTGAAAGTTAGAATAAATCTTAAAGAACTTAAAATATTCTCTGAGTTTTAATGTCAGAATAATCCATGAGACATTAAGGCCACTGAATTCTGTTATTTAGTCTCATTTTAATTGCCATCTTAAGACTATCTACCAATTCTACCTTGTTCTTAATTGTGTTTTCCAAATTTAAAGATATCCTGCTGTATAATCCCGCCCTGCCTCACCCTTGTCTGACTTTTACTGTTTTTCTGTTGCCGTTTGCAGCAGCCTTATTTGATCCTGTGGCATGGAAACAGCTTTCTTTTTCTGTCATGGGCACTCTTGGTGCTGATGTTGCCTGTCCGTAGGCAATAAATAACACTTCCACTACAAGAGTTGGTATATCTTAGTAAATAGCTAGTGGCCCAAAGAGTAATAAATGAAGGAGTTAGCAAGTAGGATGGGTACATTTTGCCAAAATAATTTCCATTAATTAATCTATTTAAATTTATAAATTCATAAGCAGGTAGTGTGTATGCTATGTTACTTGCCCTAAAATGGGAATGTATAACTTTAAAGCCTATTGAAATAGGATAATTTTTAAATTGTTGGTTTATGTTTTAAAATTTAAAATATATTTATTAACATTGAGTTAGTAATCTGTGTTATTTTACCTTTAATTGAAAAATTTTTGTTATCCTTGTAAATCAATTTTGATTTTAAAGTAAATCTTTTGTGTCCTTTATTCTAAGGTTTTTCTAGGGTATTTTTATTTCAACTTAAAGATTGGCCATTAGAGCACAGAGGGGTGGAGTTGGGGGGAGGAAATCTAGGGAGATTTTAATTTTATGATAATTATTTAAATAAAGTTCTTTTAATAATTTTTAAAACATTTAAATATGAGGCTTTTTTTTTTGTAATCTCTCATGTTCCAAAGTTCCTTAAAAATTAAGTTGAACATTATTTTTTAGTGAATATCTCAATATACATTTTCATTGAAGTATTAACATAGATGATTATGGATTTGATTGTGTTGATATTGCATAGACTAAAATTATGGCAGAAGTTAATTTGGGTTGTTTTAAGGTGTTGATGTATGTTAATTTAAGAAACTTAATTATTCATAAGTAAAGGATGATGATTTTCCTTTTTTAAGTAAGTACTATAATAAGAATCTGAAAAGAGGAACAGAAAGAAAGAAGCTATTGTGAGGTGAAATAGAGAAAGTGACATTGTAAACTGACATCAGTAAAACATTTAAAAGGATTTTTAAGAATAAATTTTAGCAAAAATTCATCTAAATAGTGACAATTTTAAAACCACTTGAGTTCAACAGTCTAATATTCATATTCTCTTAGCGACTTTAGAGAGTAGAAAAGTTTGTCTTTTAAATGAGGGAACTCTGACATCTTTGGTAAAATATTCTGTTTTGTAAAAAACATGATTTTTTTTTTTCAAAACTTCATTACATGGTTATTATCAAAGCTGTTACACAACTTTTCTTCCTCAGAATACCATGTAATTTCCACTTTCAAGAGGAATCCTCTCGAACAGGCCTTCAGACGGCCCAATGTAAATCTAACCTCCAATCACCTTTTATATCATTACTGGATTGCTGTAAGCCATAAGGCCCCAGCATTCCTGTATGATATCTACCTCAGGATGACTGGAAGAAGCCCAAGGTAATGGTGACTAGCTCTGTCTTATCTGTTCCTCTGACTGTTAAACAACCCATGCTTACACTAAAATGCCTATTAACTCTGTATTTGTTTATGCTTATAAGGCTTATTGGCCTTTTATGAAAGAGAAGACTTGAATTTAAGATTTTGTCAGAAAAGCAAAGGTAGTGTTGTAATTCACTCTGTTTTATTCTGAAGTTTTGATGATAAGTTATGTGCTGAATTCTAGGTCTAACTTTAGGTATTTTTTTCTGAATAACAAATAACATTCAAAATGCTTTGATGCTTATTTTCCCTACAGGATATTATCTAAATCATTTCTTCAAGATGAATCCTTTAAACCAAGTATTCAGGCGCCCCAATATTAAGTTGTATTCCAACAACTTATTGCTTCATTATTGGAAGGGTGTCAGACATACAGTACCTGCATTATTGCACGATCTTGCACTCAGGTTGACAGGTCAGAAACCGTGGTAAGAAGAATAGCAGTAAATACACTATGTATTGGTAAGGTGGTGGAAGCTTGCTGGAGAGACGAAAAGTCGCTAGCATGAGCTTTACCTTTAGAATTACTAACCTGATTAATCACAATCACAATCAGGATGCTAAGACATTTCTTAGAAATTGGGGATATTTGGGAAAACTGTGGTTTCAACTTATTGAGCCATTGATCCTCCAAAATCCCATAATATAGGAAATGTCCAACATCAAGGTTGTCATTGCTATTATAAGCTGAAATTGAGCTCTTCCCCTTAAAAAACATAGGGGTAGTTTTATAGGGGTTTTATGTTAAAATGTTTGCTTTAAGTAGATTGTGCAGTTTTATATGAAAAATGTAGGATGCTTTTAGAATATTGCTTAAATTATATCAGCTGCCCATTCAGCTTATAATATGTTAATTACAGTTTTTTTTTTGTTTTTTTTTTTTACTAATTTCCAGGTTGAGAATATTATATTTTTAAAGAGGTTAATAACAAATGGAAAACTTTTTTTTCGTTTTCCTCTAGTTGTTATAGTCTTTCTTTTTGCTTTCTTTTCTTTTTTTTTGTTGAAACCCCACAAACTTACATAAAGTCCTTCTGTCTTTCCCAAAATTATAGTTAAATGTCCCATAAAATAGGTTTTAACTACATTGGCATTACAGTGGAGTCTTTGATTATAGAGTTCAGGATTTGAGTATTTATGTAAAAAGAAGGTAAGGTTCTGATTCCAGAACTTTCACCAGTTGCTCAAAAAGTAAAAGTGAGGTATCTGACAGTTATAGTGTATCAGGATCTGAATTATTTGTAGAGATTTTCTGTGGCTTCAGTTGTCCATTATGTTTCTAATTTTATATATTTAATGTGAGAGGTGTTGAACAACTTTAGATAAAGAAATACTTAATGAAAAAAAGATCCACAGTATTTCCAAGATATTTTTAAGTATCCTAGAATGATCTGAAAAGTACAATATTTGTCATTGGCAGCATTCTTTGTGGCTAAAAAGTAGATGTAAATTTATGAGTGATGGCAGTTCATGCTTTCTTGATATTAGTAAAGTTGTTGCAATTTAGAACAGTGAAGTCACTAGGTCAACTAGGTCAAAAAAGTAAAATAGGTTAAATATATCACAATGCCTTACAGAAAAAGGGGGCTTAGTATACTTAAAGATGAGTAACCAGTTTATTAAATAATTTATACTAGATGTTGCTACATAGCAAGTCATATCATTAATAGTGGCTTAAAATGGCAGCTGTAATTTAATATTTCTTTTAATTTATTATTTCTCTTAGCTTGTGTTGATAACGGTTGCCTTCTTAACTTCCTTCTTGCCCATAAAAGGTTGGAAGTCCCAGGGCAGGGATCAGCTTCTGTAAAGGGCTGTATGGTTCCTGTTGCAACTACTCAACTCTGCTATTAATTGTTGCAACTACTCAACTCTGCTATTAATTAACCTTGCAATTACTCAGTTAGACATTTGCAATTACTCAACTAGATGTCCATAGACAATATGCAATTGAATAACCACAAGTGTTCCAATACAACTTTATTTACAGGAACAGGTGGATTTGGCCCCAAGGGCGTTGGTTTGTTAATGGTTGATCCAGAGGCCTCTTTTCATTTTGTACTATCTATGTCCCTTTCAGTGTAAACTGATGTGATTCCTTTTAAACTTGTGGGTTTCCCATGTATCTGTTTAAAACAGTCTTCATTAGACCAAAGCCATACGCACTGATGTCTTTGAGACATGTCCATTTCTGTCTTGGGTCTTTATGGAGTTACTATGGATGGGATAGCTCCCTTACATCTTAGAGTCTTATCTCTTAGATCCTTAGACTGAACTCTTAGTTCCTGCCTCTTTAAACAGTAGGGCTTCTATGAAACATTTCTCTAAGATCTGAAATGAACCTTTTGTTAGAAAGTTTCTATGAGGTATGTTGAACGAACTCAAAAGGAGTCTGAAGGCTTTGGCTAGAAATAAACAATAAAGACTTATTCAAGGATTTTAGGGTTTGCAAACCAAAACACATAGCTAGGCAATACACAGAATATTTTGAAGAAGGAAGAAAAGTTAAAAAAATTTTTTTAGTAAAAAGTACATTCTTGAGAAGAATCTTTCCTGCATTCTTAGCCCTAGGATTGGTCCAGGATAGTTATTTGTCAGATGTTGGTTGACTGGATAGTGGATGCCAGGTGGTCTGGATATGTGACTTTTACAGGGGCTAATTAGAGGGTTGTTTGAAGGTCTGGTTTATGTCCAGGTATTGACATACAGAAAATTGATATATATCCAGGCATTGACACAGGACTGAAAAGTTCAAATTATAAGTTCCCAGTCTATTTAAAACAAGAATAGAATTGTTTTCTCATGCCTCAACCTTCTTGATTTTAGTAATTTTGAAGCAATTCCATTTTATTTGTTTATTTTAAAAAATGTTTTTATTTATTTCAGAGAGAGGAAGGGAGAGGGAGAGACAGATAGAAACATCACTGATGAAAAAGAATCATCGCTTGGCTGCCTCTTGTAAGCCCCCCACTGGGGACTGAGCCTGTAACCCAGGCATGTCTTCTGACTGGGAATTGAACTGTAACTTCCTGGTTCATGGGTTGGTGCTCACCCACTGAGTATACTGGCCGATCAATTCATTTTATTTCTTCACTTTATTTTCCTCAAGTTCTACCTTAGATCTTTTTGAGGTATTAATCAAAAATCTTATGTCTGCATTCTGGATTTGATCCATGCCCAGAAGCCATTCTGGGCTCTTTCCACCATCTTTTAATGCTTCCTTAAATGCATTTGAGTGTTCCTACTGATCCTCTCAAGAGTATCAATGATACCAAAAAGAGAGGCAAGCACCAGGTTCTTATTAATCTGTGCTCCAAAGTCATCTGATTTCTAACTGTGATGATGAAGCATGTTTATGTTGGTAAATTTGAAGTTATTGATGATCACAGAGCTGGGAAAGTTGTGAACCTCACAGGCAGGTTAAACTAGTGTGGCGCAATCAACCCCAGTTTTGCTGTCCAACTCTAAGATTTATAAAAATGGCAGAACAATCTGCTTCCATCCCGTCATTTTGGTTTCATTGTACTGACAATCTCAGTAGGCATTATGGACCATAAAGAAGCAAGATGAAAACACGTAGGAGGGAAAATCCTGCTATTCTTTTTCTAGTGATATGATATAAATGCACACACAAAAAAAAATGCCTCAATGAAAAAAAACCAAAAGAATTCCTGCCTGGCATTTTATTTATTTAAAAAAACACACATATTATTTATTGATTTGAGAGAGAAAGAGAAACATCAGTTTGTTGTTCCACTTATGTATGTCTTCATTGGTTGCTTCTTCCTGTGCCCTGACTGGAGATTGAACCTGCAAACTTGGCATTTGGAATGACGGTGCAACAAGCTGAGCTACCCAGCCAAGGCTGGCTGGTATTTTCATTTTCTCTAAATACCACTTAAACAAACAGTTCAGTTTTTAAATATCACCTTTGTCCTCTTTGAGGAAATCTTGGCTAGATCATCAAGTTAGGTACAGTTTCTATTTTTCATGTTGCCACAGGCAACAGTTTTTTTCTTCCATCTCCCAACAATATTTTTGTCCCTTCAAGGCCTCAAACAGCACGCCCTTTAAGGCTTCCACTAAAGTTCTTTTCTTGATCCTTTCAGGTTTCACCATGATCTCAAGAGCCTTTTAGATTCTACCACTTGCTCCTAAAGCCAATGCATGTTTTAGATTTTTATTATAGCAGCCCCACAGTCCTGGTACTAAGATCTGTTCCTTTTATCTGTGCTGCATTGTGAATCACCTCAGACTTAATCTCTTATGATTTCCCTGGGTCAGGAATTCTAGAAGGGTTTGGCTTTGTGTTTCTGTCCCAGAGTCTTCCCAGCGTTTGTAGTCATATAGGAACAAGTAGGTACACTGGAGGGAGTGGTAAAGGAGAGAAAGGGTACAGAACAACTATGGTGGCCCGGCACCTTTCTCTCTTCATGTAGTCTCAGAGCCTCTCCATATGGTCTCTCCACTTGGACTAGTTTGGGTTTCCTCACATCTTGGCAGCCTCTAGGGGAGTTGGACAGCATATGGCAACTGAAGGCTTCAAGGGTGAGTATTCCAGCAAGCAAGGCTTAGAAAGCTTCTTCACCTTTTCTTACTACTCTTGGAAATCACTCTGTTTCATTTCCACCTCAGTCTATTGTGTATAAGTTACCTTCATCTCTTGATGGGAAGATAGTCAAAGTGATAATATAGGTGAGCATGGAGGATGGGAGACAATATTACAGCTACCTTTGGACATTAAAATCTGCTGCAAATAGGAAACATCAAAGGAAGAACCTTGAGGTTTGCCCTGTGTGAGGCTTTCAAATCAGGAATTAACCTTGACCCCTGGGAGCTTATAGTCTAAAAGCAAAAAGAGACATAAAGACTTTTTAGTTAGGCGATTTTATTAATGTTAAATACAGTGTTATAGTTTATACTAGGAGCCCAGTACACAAAAATGTGTGCACTGGGATGGGAGGTCCCTCAGCCTGGCCTGCCCCCTCTCACAGTCCAGGAGTCCTCAGAGGATGTCGTACTGATGGCTTAGACCGGGATGATCAGGGGAAGGCACTGCAGCCGTGGGCTCAGGCAGCTGCAAGCACTGGGCCTCAGAGCCGCTGGGGCTTAAGGCTGCCTGAGCCCCGGGCCTCGCAGCCGCTGTTCGGTTGGAGGGACAGGGACGTCTGTCCTAATTAGCATATTACCCTTTTATTAGTATAGGTTATTTAATTTGTTTAGATGTATACTGAGCTTTATATCTTATATTGGGGCCTTACTACTTCTACATTACTGTCAATCATATCACTAATGGTGTCCATTTTACTCATTTATGAGTGTCAGCTAGATAAGTATAATTTAGACATGTATCATAAGAATCCTGGTTAATACTCTGTAGGGACTAGGATGTATGATATTACATGTAGAAATTGTATAGATTATTCACTCTAGCTCTTGAAATGTAGCTATTTTATCACTGTTCAAAATGACATTTTTAAAAAGTGGTTCTGTAGTCTTATTTTGGGGGTTAGTTAGCTTAACTCTTTAGCTTAACTTCAATGAGCTTAATATTTTTTAATTTGAAGACGTTTTGCCCCCTCGGGACATTTGATAATATGTGGAGATATTTTCAGTTATCACAACTCTAGGGGGAGGTAGTGGAGACCAAGGATGCTGCTAGGCATCTTAGAATGCACAGGACAGCCCCCACCAAGAAGAATTATCTGGCACAAAATGGCTAGCCCTGGACTAGATGACCATTAAGATTTTGTTGTACTCTAAAGGATTGTGATTGGTAAATTTTTGCTGTCTGTTATAATAAAGAATAAACTAATACTCAGAATATATAGGACAATATAGTGCCAGGCATTTGCCCTTACATCACGTTTAACCCAAGAGTGATGGTGCAGAGTTGTTGTTTTTTTTTTTTATCTGCCATAAGTTTGATAAATAATATTCTATGAACCTTACAAATTTATGGCCTTTCAAATTTCCTTTTTCTACTACAATTTTTTATTATAATTTTTTTTAATGGCTGAATCGGTGATTGGTTTTAGGGTAATTCTGAATTTTGAATGAATTGGTTTTAGGGTAATTCTGTCATGTGAAGACTAGGTGAGAATTGTCAGTGAAAAGAGGTTAGGAAGAAAAACTTTTTAATAAGCTGTATGTTGGAAAACCACATTAACCAAATATGTTTATGTATGTGATTCAAATATATTATACTGGCTATGATAGTCAGTATTGATTTAATTACAAAGTTTTTATTTCTTTTTTGTTGTTTTTTAAAAAATTGTATAATCTCTTATTTAAAAGCAGTATGTCTTCTTTTTTCCCCACCAAGTACTGTCTATCTTTAGGAACTATTTTTGTCCAAATACAACCTTTTGAGGCTCACCATTTCTTTTCATGTTTAATGGAGGTTTTGTAATTGCTTTCTTGCATGAACTAAGTTTTTCTTTACATAGTTCATGCTACCTCATTTTTTTTCCCTTCAATATTTTGGATTCAGGGTATCTTTCTAAATGTATTAAATAAGTCATCAGAATTGCTTAGCTAATTATGTTATTGTTTTGATTCCTTCCTGCCCCCTCATTTCTAATGTTCTAATTTCCCTCCATTTCTAAAGTTCCTGATTTTGGGACTCTAAATTACATATAATGCTAATCCTTATTGTGGGGCTATAAATTGAGGGATTTTTTTTTTTGTATTTCTTCACAAATTATTTTTCTATTTATCAGAGGTTATGAATTATTGGTGTGTGTTTTGTTCTGAAAAGTTCTTTCTTCCCCACTTATCATTGGTAATTATTGTAATTACTGCTCGGGTTAATGTTATGATATCAATGACTTATAGTAAGCCATGATATTTAAAATGACAGATTTAATGATTAGGGCCCTTTGCCCTTTTAAAAAGAAACAAACAGAACAATATATAACTTCCTTATTTCTATAAGGATGGATGGTGAGGTTTTGGGAAGGTGAGTAAATATTTCAAAAAATTTTCAGCATGAGTCATTGATTTCATGGCACAGCAAAATTATCAAGAATGGTATTTGTCAGTGTTAAAGAGAAAGTTATTTAAAGATCTTTACACAGAAAGTTGACTAAATGGCAAATGAATATTTCTGTATAATGCAATATAGAATGTTATGAATTCACAGAAAATATTAGTAAAATGTGGAACAAAAGGATCAAAAAGCAAGGGAATTCTAACTGAATCCATTATTATTTAGTATTATATGTAGAAAATTAGACCTTAAAGCATTGTATTTCTTTTGAAAATTAATTTCATATATCAACAGAACTTTAGTATTAAATTGATTTGCAGCTGCTTAAAATTTGTTCTTTTACATTTTGGATTTATGAAATAATCTTCCAAGATGCAGAAATATTCTTATTGCCTGCTAGTTGGTACACTTAAACTGAATTACGTATTATGATTTTATTGTTAATGTGTCAGTTTACAAACTGGTGCCATGGTTGGTGATGAGATTTTTTTCCCCCCTAATCTATGCAGAATATGAATCTGTCATTTTCTTATAATACAGGATGATGAAAGCAATAACTCGTCTTCACAAAGCTATGATGCTTCTTGAGTATTTCACAAGTAATTCTTGGGTTTGGAATACTGACAACGTCAATATGTTAATGAATCAACTAAATCCTGAAGATAAAAAGGCAAGTATTTTCTGTTTTATATTAGAAAATAAGTAGCTTATTAATTAGATAGCCATCTGCAACCTAAGAAATAATTGGATATTTTTGACAATCATTATGCAACAAGAAAGTCATTGATCTATTTAGAGTCAGTCATAATTGTGGGTGATGAAATAAAATTGCTCTACCTTAGAATTTATGAAGAATTTGGATGTGGCAGTATGATTTAATTTACAGTAAGTTTGAAACGTTCATTCTTTTTTCTTTTAATGTCAGGTTGAAAGAGAACTTTAGCTTCTGTATGCATTATCCTCGCCAAAACACTTTGTTTTCTTTGAATTTTGAGAAAAATCTTCCTTCAGAAATTGTTTTTCACATATGCTTTTTACTTTGTATCATTCCACATTTCTCCATGTCGCTGTTAATTTGAAACTTTTCCTCTTCATGTGTATTCTTTTTGAGTTTGTGTTAGATAGTTTAATGTGTATACCTACCAAAGTTTAAATTAAGCCAATTTCTATAGTCTCTTGCTTAGTGAGTATATTCAGGACCTTATTAAAATGTTTTATCTGAGTTCTTTCAGCTTCCTTTCTCTTCCACTTCTTTAAACATTTTTTAAATTGCCTTATTTTTCCCAGTATATTCAAAACAATATATAATTTGAACAAAAATTTAAAGATCACTTAAAATTTTTAAATTATATAAAGGATAGTTTACTCTGTATTTTTCATATTGAGCCTTCAAAAGCCAGTGTGCATTTTACACTTTACAGCAATTCGGGCTATCCATATTCATATGTCCATGAGGTGCATGTGGCTTCTTGTGGCTACCATATTGGATAGTGCAGATTTAGTCCATTCTGCTGGTTTGGCATGGCAGGTTCTCAAGTGTGCTGTCTCTCTGCTCACTTCTTTTTTTAAATTTTATTTATTTATTTATTTTTAATATATTTTATTGATTTTTTACAGAGAGAGATAGAGAGTTAGAAACATCCATGGGAGAGAGAATCATCGATCAGCTGCCTCTTGCACACCTCCTATTGGGGATGTGCCTGCAGCCAAGGTACATGCTCTTGACTAGGATCGAACCTGGGACCTTTCAGTTCGGCTCTGCTCACTTCTGTGTGTGTTGGGTTTTCTTCTTTTTCACCCTTGCTCTGAAGATATGGCTTTTTGGATTCCTATGTTTTTGCAGGAATATTTGATAAGACTTCTTAATTTATGGGGCCATAGGCGTTAGAGCCAGTCTTCTTCCCTTCAGAGCAGAAGGTCTAAGTCATTAAGGTTTGCAGAATGGCTCAAGTTGAAAGATTTATGGCTTCTGCTGATTTCATACTTGCCCCCACCCCCCTTGCCTTCCCACCATACACTATATATTCCAATGCACAACGTATACTGCTGAATGGATGATTAGAAAATAAGCACTCAGGTGAAGAAATAGAAATTACACCCAGAAGATTCCTCTTATAACCCCTCCCAATCACTACCTCCTCTCCTAATCTATTGTGAATTTTTACACTGTTAGTTTTATACGTTTTTGATTTTATACAAATTGTATCATACTAGAGGCCCGGTACAGAAAATCTGTGCACGGGGTCAGGAGGGTCCCTCAGCCCAGTCTGTACCCTCTCTAATCCTGGATCCCTCAGAAGATGTCTGACTGTCTCGCACAATCTGGGACTGCTGGCTCCTAACTGGTTGCCTGCCTGATCGCCTCTAATCACCTCAGCCTGCCTGCCTGATCATCCCTAACTGCTCCCCTATCTGCCAGATCGCCTCTGCCTTGCCCTTCACCTGGGACCTAGGATTCCCTCCTCCAGCCAGTTGCAGGCACCTGGAACACAGGCTTCCCTTCATCTAGCCGGCCGCAGAACTCGGGTCGGCCACAGCTGCAGAGGACCATGGGCTTGTCTCCCGGGCCACAGGCACAGCTGCTGGCGTCCGGGACCAAAGGGCGGGTAGCTTGTCCCTCCCCTGGGCCTCCGCCTGGCTGATCCCTATTCCTCTCTCACAAACTCATTTGTGCCTGGCTGGTCCCCATTCCTCTCTCCTTAATGTTGAGAGTGTTTGAGCCATTAAGGCATGAGGGCATGATGACCATTTGCATATTAGCTCTTTATTATATAGGATAATTTTTTTTTCCATTCTTTTGTTGATAGAAATTTGCATTATTTTCAGTTTTTGATTATTGGGAATAATGCTTCTGTGAACCACATGCACACACTTTTTTAGGATATATATCTAGTTGAATCAAAGGGTATTCATATGTTTAATTTAGTAGATAATGCCAAACAGTTTTCCAGAGTGGTTGTATTAATTTACATCTCAAGTGACAGTTATGAGAATTCCTATTAATCCATATCTTCCCCAACATTTGGCATTTAAAATTTTAATTTTAGCCACTTTTGTGGTGAGTAGTGGTATCTCAGTGCATTTCATATTGCATAAAAAGCTTATGGAGACCTGCCAAAAATGTCAATATTTTTATTGAGAAATGGGCTAGAGAGATGAACAGTTTATAGAAAAAGTAATTCTTAAATTATTTTTAATTATATGAAAAGATAACCTCACTCATAAAAATGAAAGTACAAATTAAAACTAGACTGAGATATTTACTACTAAGCAGGTTTGCAAAAAATGCAAACTATCAACATACTCTGGTAGTTCTTGGGCAAATTGGCGTTTTCCTACATTGCTGTTAGAAATGTATATTTTTTCCCATCCTTTTATTTTTACCTTTTCTGCATTCTTTTTTTTTTTAAATAAATTTTTATTGTTCATATTATTACAAATGTTCCCCCCCACCCCATTGCTCTCCTCCACCAGGTTCCCACCCCACCCTCTGCCCTTCCCCACCCCCCATTGTCCTCATCCATAGGTGCACAGTTTATGTTCAGTCTCTTCCCACATCCCCCTCTCCCCTTTTCCCCAAGAATCGTCAGTTCACTCCCCTTCCATAACTCTGATTCTATTATATTCAACAGTTAATATTGTTCATCAGATTTTTTTTTTTTAATTTCCTTGGTTTTTAGATTCACTTGTTGATAGTTACGTATTTGTTGTTCATAATTTTTATCTTTATTTACTTTCTCTTCTGAAAGAACCCCCTTCAGCAATTCATATAATTCTGGTTTGGTGTTGATAACTCCTTTAGCTTTTTTTTTTTTTATTAGTGAAGCTCTTTATCTGACCTTCGATTCTGAGTGTTCTTTGCTGGATAGATTATCTTTGGCTGAAGGTTCTTACTATTCAGCACCTTGAATATTTCTTGCCATTCCCTTCTGGCCTGCATGGTTTCTGTTGAGAAATCAGCTGACAATCCGTATAGGTGCTCCTTTATAGGTAATTACCTTCTTTGCTCTTGCTGCTTTTAATATTCTCTCTTTGTCTTTTGCTCTTGGAATTTTAATTATGATTTGTCTTGGTGTGGTCCTCTTTGGATTCCTTTTGTTTGGAGTTCTGTGTGCTTCCTGGACTTGTAAGTCTTATTCTTTCACCAGGTGGGGGAAGTTTTCTGTCACTATTTCTTTCAGTATATTTTCGATATCTTGCTCTCTCTCATCTTCTGGAACCCCCATAATTCTGATGTTGGTTCACTTGAAGTTGTCCCAGAGGTTTCTTACATTATCTTCAATTTTCTGGATTCTCCTGCCTTCTAGCTTCTGCGGAGGAGTGTCTTTGGCTCTTTATGTTCCAAATCTTTGACTTGATTCTTGCGATCTTCCCTTCTGTTTTTAGGACTCTGTATAATATTTTTTATTTCAGACAATGTATTCTTTATTTCTTGTTGATCCCTTATCATTTCTTGTTGATTCCTTATTAATTCTAATTGATCTCTTTTCATATCCTCATAGGTCTTATTGATCTTTTCTAGGAAATTCTTGAAAAACTTTATAAGTGTAGATTTGAACTATATATCCAGTCGCTTTTTGTCCTCCATTTCTTTCATTTGTGATCTATTTCACTGTCGCATTTCGCAGCTACAGATGGGACAGGGTTACAGGGTGGAGCCTACAGCTTTGGCTTCCATCAGCTCCGCCCTATGTGGCTTCTGGGTCTCAGGGTCCTTCAGTACTCGTTGCAAGCGCCTCTGAGAGAAAGGTGCCCTCGGTTTTCGCCTGCTACCAAACGGTCTAGGCTTTCACCCAATGAGCCCGGTATTGGGTTTCAGTTCATTTGGAAGTGGAGTTGGAGGTGGCGTTCAGAGCAGTCTGGAGCCCCTGTCTCCTTCCCGTCAGGGCAATCCCGCAGCACAGCCAACCTCTGCGCACAATGTGCGTGCCTCCGGGACCTCCTCTTGCCGCTCCCCCGGGGTTCCGCCTCGCAGCCCAGCTCCCTCTGTGTGAGCCTGGGTCCCTGGGGTCTGGCCTAGCACTGGGGTTCAGAGCAGTAGGAACTGGGGCCCAGCACAGTTGGAGCTTTTAACTCCTTCCCGCTAGGGAACGCCAGCCAGGCACTCAGCCCCCCTCTTCTACTGTTCCGTCCTCTCCGCACGTGCGGTGTGTCTCCGTACCTTAGGCTTTTCCAGCTCCTCCGCGCTTCCTTCTGGTTTTCTCCTTGCTTCTCGTTGTAGAATTTCCAGTCAGTCGACTTTCCTGTAGTTCTGGGTAATGTCCATTTTATATTTTAGTTGTATTTTATTGAAATTGTTGTGTGCGGCTGCGGCTAGGTGTCTACCTGAGCAGCCATCATGGATTCTCCTCCCTTTTCTGTATTCTTATCTCTCAGTTACTTCTCTTATAAATAACAGATGGATTTTTATTTTTTATTACTTTTATTTTTTTTAGTCTTGACAATTTTTTACCTTTAATTGGAAGGTTTAATCCATAATGTAATTTCTGGTAATTTTTAATTTAAATCTGACTCAGTGCTTACAATTTGTCCCACCTTGTTTTAAGGTGTTTTTTTGTTTGTTTGTTTGTTTGTTTGCTTTTTTTGAGGTTATTTTTACAGTTGTGTGTTTTTCCATTTGTGTTATTAACATACAAATATATTAATTTTTATGCTGTTTTCATAGGTTACTCTAGAGATTACAGCATTCTTTCCAAATTTATCAATGTCTAATATAATGTTGATAATTCCAGCTTTTCTTGGAAAATGCGATAACTAACACCTATCTGCTATTGCTTTTACATATATTAATTCTATATGTGTTATATGCCTGATAACCATTATTATTATTATTATAGTCTATGCAATAAGTATTCATGTATAGATTTATCAGCAATATTGTTTTTTCTTTTTCCAGCTTAGATGTCAGTTTGGAATCATTTTCATTATGCCTAAAGAATGCCTTTCAGTATAATTTTTCTAGTGTGGGTCGTCCAAGGATATCAGATTGTCTCAGTTTTTATTCTTCTGGGAACATTTTTTCTTTTCAAAGATATTTGTGCTGGTGTAAAATTCTTTATCAGCAGTTTTCTTTGAGCACTTGGAAAACTTAGTTTTGGCTTTTCATTTTCTTTTGAGAAATCAATTGTTTTTCTCTTTTACTTTCAACATTTTTACTCTGACGTGCTTAGATGTGTGTGTATGTGTGTGTGCATATAGTATATCGTGTTTTGAATCTGTGCCTTGATGTCTCATTATTTTTTTGAAAATTTCTAGCCAGTCTTTGGTTCCATCCTTTTACACTCTTCTCTGGGAATCTATAATAATTACACTTTTGTAACAATTTATTTATGGTAGCTTTCTTTCTTTTTTGGGGGGCCGGTCTAGAACTTATTGTGTTCAAATAAGTGATGATATATAATGAATAGTCTGTTTATCCAAATGTATGGAGCACTGAGTAATGCAAGGCCCTCTCATTTTGTTATGAAATATCATTTTTATAAGGCTTTTTATTCTAGATTTGTCTACCCTTTTCATCAAGGTGGCCAAATTACTGTTGTTTAAACTCCTAAACCAGCTTTTATAACATTCTTTTTCCTGATGTCAATAATATTCTCTAAGAAAATTAATCTGTATAGTATCCAGGATATTCAAGAAGAGAGTCGCTGTAGATATAAACTGGAAATAAATACATAAACACATGTATAAATATATGTGAGGAATACATAAATCTATTTGGATAATAGGATTTTTTCTTTTTTGGGGTGGGGGGATTTTACAGACATCTCCTCGCACTTCATATACTCTTAAAGTGCTAGCCTGAGTTTTCAGATTATCGTTTCAAACGGTTCTGTGTTTAAGGTACGGTATAGAATAGGAATAATATTTTTGTGAATAGCAGTAAGATTTTAAAAGTTAATACAGTAAGCATTTTGTAATCATGTAATTTGGAATTAGCCTTTAGAAAAACTATAAATTTTTGACGAGTTGTGAAAAAAATTAAGAAAGTAACCAGTAATTTTTTTGTTTATGTAGACCTTTAATATTGATGTAAGGCAGTTACATTGGGCAGAGTACATAGAGAATTACTGCATGGGCACTAAGAAATATGTTTTGAATGAAGAAATGTCTGGCCTCCCTGCAGCTAGAAAACATTTGAACAAGTAAGTTTTACATGGGTTTGATTTCTTTTGTCTTTCTTCTTATAGTGGTGTTTGTTTGTTTTTTTATAAGCTGATATATCGAGTGAAAGATATTGCTAATAATCATCATATTTAGGAAAAGTTCTTACCTTTGGACTGGAACTTTGGTAGTATTGATTTAGCCTAATATTGTTTAAACTTGACAACTTCATTAATTTATACTCTTTCTGAGCACTATGTGCAGGTGTACTTTAGTTGTGGTTTTTGTTTGTTTGTTTAATATTTTTATTGATTTCAGAGAGAGACATAGAAACATCATCGATGAGAGAGAATCATTGATTGGCTGCCTCCTGCCTGCCTCCCTCTGGGGATTGAGCTCACAACCTGGGCATGTGCCCTTGGCTGGAATCAAACCCGGCATCCTTAGTGACATTCTATCCACTAAGCCAAACCAGCTAGGGCTGGTGTAATTTAGTTTAAAAAAATGCTGTTATCTTTCCTTATATTGCTATTGAAGAAGTAAAGATATTAGGAGGAAATAAAAATATGGAAGTAATTTATTTATTTAATGTTTTTTTCACCCTACTCTATCTTTGGAAGAGGAAAATAGATATACTAATACATCATTTAACATGGAATTTTTGTTTGTTTATAAAAAAGCTATAATCATTCCCCTTAGTTTTCAATAAAGTAATACATACAGGTTGTTTAAAAAACCATACACACAGAAAATAGAAGAGGAAAAAATCACTGTTAATCCATCATTCAGAAATGCAGTTAAAAATTTAATAGCAATCTATTTTATTGGTAGTTTAGTGAATAGCATATATATATATATATATATATATATATATATATATATATATAAAATGATTTTAGAGAATGAAAGAGGGAAGAGAGAAAGAAACATCAATTTGCTATACCACTTATGCCTTCATTGGTTGATTCTTGAGTGTACCCTGACCAGGCATAGAACCTGAAACCTTGCTGAATCAGGATGACACTCTAATCAACTGAGCTACCTGGCCAAGGCCTAATTAATATAATTTTTCTAACAGTTTTCAAGATTGTCACATTATTCTTCCTGTGCTTCCAACTCTATGAGGCTTTGTAGGGCAGTTAGTTATATAGATGAGGAACAGAGGTTTAGGGAAATTGAGTTTGCCTAGGTCCTATTGTATTAAGTGGCAAAACAAACCATGACCTTTTGACATGTAATTCAAAGCTCCTGCCTACACCAATTGTTCATACATTGAAGTCCTCTTTTACCCTGCCTTTTGAAGTTAATGAACTGTATGTAACATTACTGCATATCTAAGATTTGCATTCCTTTCTAAAACCATTAAAAAGCATATGAAGTGTTTTATTTTTTATATATTTTATTGATTTTTTTCACAGAGGAAGAGAGAGGGATAGTTAGAAACATCAATGAGAGAGAAACACCGACCAGCTGCCTCCTGCACACCCCCCACCGGGGATGTGCCCGCAACCAACGTACATGCCCTTGACCGGAATTGAACCTGGGACCTTTCAGTCCACAGGCACGCTCCATCCCCTGAGCCAAACCCGTTTCGGCCATATGAAGTGTTTTAAAACAAGAGTAAGATAATGTACATGCAACTTTGAGAATGGCAAGTCCTCATATCCAGAGCTAGTAGCATGTTTCATTCATGAATGAGTTTTTGGTCTTTGGTCATGTGACTACTATCTATAGTGGAAGGAGTAAATTCAGTTTCCTGACAACTTGTAAGCAGCTAAATATGTCACACAAAAAAATGTTTATTTTTTCTGTAAGATGATGTATGTAATGTACAAACCTTTTTAGTTTAAGAAGGAAAAAGAGCCAAACGTGTCTGTTTTACCTCCAGTGTATTTGCTGCCTAGCACAGTACTGGGCATGCAAGAGGATGCTCAATTCCTGCTGAATGAATAACTTGGCATCCCAAATATACTGTTATAAAAAAAGCTTTGTGTTATTCATTGTTAATAGAGGTAATACATTGTTTGATATACTGCAGTCAGGTGACTTTTGCTAACTTTCTAACTTAAGGACTTTTAATTAGTTTTTAAATAAATTTCAAATTAATATGGATTCGAGTTTTATGTTAAAAACTGAGTATTGACTATGTGCCATCCAGCAATATTTTATTTAGAAAATGTGATCTAATAGGTCTCTTGATTTGTTTTCAGGTTGAGAAACATACGTTATGGTTTCAATACGATCCTTGTGATCCTGATCTGGCGCATTTTTATTGCAAGATCACAAATGGCAAGAAACATCTGGTACTTTGTGGTTAGTCTGTGTTACAAGTTTCTGTCATACTTCCGAGCATCCAGCACTATGAGATACTGAAGACAAGAATTTAGCATTAGAACATCTATGCATATGTGGTGGTCTAAATGCACAAATGTAAAATGTACTTAAGTCATCTCACCTTTTGTCAAGATATTAAATCATCTTAGATCGGAGTGTGGAGTAAATTATGGTACATTTTATGTAACATTTTAATGTTTATGCTCATAAAAATCTAGTGAACACACTGTGGTATGCTAGCTCAAATCCAATAGCCACCAGAACCATGATGTAATATTTTGATCCCTTGGGAAAAGGGGTTGGGTGAGGGTAGGAGGGGGGATATGGGAACACTGACCAGTATAACTGTGCAATTCTGGAACATATTAATTAAAATATGCCTTAACATACAGCGAATTCTAATTTTAATATTTAGTGCAATGGAAAGCATTTATTTGGCAGGAACATTAGCTAAGTTGGTAGATATTTGATTCTTCAATGTTTGATTTTTTTCATCAGTTGAAGTTTTGTTAAAATTATAGCCAACTTATTTTCACATTATCCTATAAGTTATTGAGTGGTCTCAGACATGAAAGACATGTTCTCATTTTTCTTCTCTGATTAGAGATTTGATCATATCATTTTCCTTTAAGCAATCAGCTGCTTTTATTATCAGAAGACTATACTAAAGATCCTACTGGATCTAAATGGATTTGAAAATCCATATCAATATATGCTATGTGTTGTTTGAATGAAAATTAAAATGAGTTAAATAAGACTATTAGCATCAAAAAATAAGAATACATTTTTCTTGTCTACATAATGACCAAATAGAAATCAATCCTCTAAGATGTTCATGTTTTGAAGCTGGAGAATTTCTTGAGACTTTGGCAAATGGGGGCTGGTGGGGTTGTGGAGGGATTCACCATACTTGTGCTCTCCTCCCTTTATACATGTTTTTAATGAGACTTTAAAAAGGCTTATGCTGTCTTTCCAATGAAAACTGAAAATACATTATAATGGAAAAATTTATTTGCAGGTAGATATAACATTAAGAAAACATTCTCACATGTGTATAAACACATACTAACTTTTGACCTTGAGAACTGAATTCCTTCAAGAAAAATAAAATAATGCATAAAATAATGTGTATCAAATTAAATAAAGGACTTTATTTACTTACCACATAAAGTAGCAAACTATTGAATGAGTTTAAAGATACCATTTATTTTTTTCTGCATGTGGTTTTAGCTTTAGAAAGAAATGTACTATAGAAACAAGTAATAGCAAGAAAATTAATGTATATTTTAATGATACATTATAATTCCCTTTAAACCTTAATAGTAATTAACTCCCTTACTGTTTAACGTATATTTGATTGAGCAAATTGATCAGCATAACATGTTTTAATTTAGCTGATCAAGTTGTACTATATTTAAATCATCAATAGTATATCTTGAATATGTCAGTTCATAATACAAAAAGTTACATAGAACTTTACATCTTAATTTTTTGTCAGTTTAAATGCAATGTATAAGAAGTTTATTTTGTTACTGTGAAAAAATGAAATGTAAAGGAAATCACCTTCTCCCATGCAGGTGTGTAATCTAGAAAAGAAAAATGCTTCCATGTTGAAGCCAAATTTTCTGTAGTAAAACTTTAAAAAATTATTTTAAAAGAAATATGTATGTAAATATATATATATATATATGTGCGTGTGTGTATGTGTGTGTGTTCTTTGGAATGACACCGAAGTCTCTGGTCTAGGACCATACCATGTATAAGGTGTGAGAGACCATAACAGTGTCTAAAGGTGGAGTAAATGACGATGTCTTTGATTTAAAGTGGCCCACATAACCGATTGTAGGTGCTCTGTAATTGAGCGCTCCATCTCTGCAAATGTGTTTCCCTAGTGTGTTGAAAACATGCTCACATTTGTATGATTTTTTTTTTACACTTTTGCCAAATATACTGAGAATCAGATGAATTATCTTTGTATCTTGAAAAAGAGGCAGGTACAATTTCAGCAGGCATGTGAAATACATATGGGGTGTATGCCTTTGGAACTATGTCGTTGTTCTTATCATTTCACTTAAAGAAATGCTATCTGGGACAGTGCTGAGGCCACTGCATTAATTTTGTGTGTTCATTTAACAGGATTCATTGTCAAAAGAAAGCTAATGAATAAATTAACATGTTATTCTATAACTTAAGGTTCTAAAATTAGTATAAAGAGCACATGGGTTGTTGATACCCACTAACTAGACTTCAAGCTTAACTCGAACTTAAAGATTTAGGGAATCATTTATATTTGTCATTTGCTAGAAATGGCTTTTAGTTTTGTTTGATTATATTTTCTATACAAACTTAGTTTTTAACAGGATAGCCTAATTAAATTTAATATTTCACTTAACTCAGTAAAACTCTATTGCAAAACATTTGTTTTTCTCTCCCTATTCAGTCTTGAGTCTATAATTGTGTCATATGCATTTGTCATTCGTGACTATATTTAGATTTGACTTGACAGCATTAATATGTCCTAAAACTCAACACAGAGAAGCATGGCAATATGTTCTTTGACTTAAGGATGGTATAAAATAAACATTCTTTGAATCTGTGTAATAAAGCATGGCAGCAGGGAGGAAAAACTCTTATTTCCTCCCCTTTTTTGTGTGTGTTTGTCTATAGGAGCTGGTTTAGGGTTTTTTGCTTTTTGTTTTAAATGTAAATTGATAATCTTCTATACAAAGTAAATAGAAGCATTATTGGTGCCTTTGTTTATAAACCAGAAAGTAATAAATGAATCCCTATATTTCCATTATAGTATTTATTGTAATTTTACAATAATTATCTTGGAAATTACCAGTGAGATACTGTGGTTAGGCTTACAGGATACATCTTCACTTATACTTCTTACCTCTTTTTGGGTGTACTTACTACTCCTTATATCCTAATTTTACTTATGCCCACATTTCTTAGCATTTTAGGGAAGCAGGTAGTCGGGATGAAACATTTTGTTAAAGTATTATTTTTATGTATTTGCTGAGATGAAATGGTCCTTGTCTTGTCTAAAAGCAGTATGAGAAGATTGCCAGGGTATTGTTAGGTTCCAGCTACTCTCCTCACATTGAATATCAATTTAATAGAGACTGTTTAAAGGAAAGCATCAGACTGGGGTCAGGCGAGTGCAGATGGCCAAGCATGCTCTTCGTGGCTGACTCCAAACCTAACTTAAAACCATTAGCACTGTCTTGCTCGTTCTTGAGAAAAACTCTTTGCATGAGAAACTAGAGAAAGGAATGTGTGCTGCATAACTTGATATAGAAGTGAGTTAATTATTAGTTTCTGATAAAAGAAATGAAAAATATTTTCTTACTGAATTAATATTTTTATCTCTAAGCATTTTCTAGCCTTAGAATGAATTTGTCTTTTTTAAAATACATCTCTGCTACCCTTAAGATTCCTAAACAAACCACCTTTGTCAATTGAGCATAGTTGTGCAAAATTGTTAAATACTTCCTTTGTTTTTTCTTAATTAAAGAAAAATTTGAGTAATATTAAGTTTGATGTGCTCCTTTGCAAATTGATGGCTCTCAATTACATTTATATAGAAAGACCAAGTGATACGTATGAGTTTAGTATGTTTACTATATGCTCAAACTCGAAGAAGACTATAAATGTCTCCCTATTTTTTGGTCACAGATCATAGACAAAACCTATAATCTTATACAAGATAAGAGAAGGGTGGAGATTCCCCCCCACCCCCTTCCCTGTCATCTCCTGCTTTTTTGATTTCGATTCTGAACAAACACCTGAACCTAAATAGATGGATGAAAACTAGAGGCCTGGTGCATGAAATTCGTGCATGGGTGCGGTCCCTAGGCCTGGCTGGCCATCAAAGCTCCAGCCTCTGTCGTGGAAGGGCAGGTCCCAGCTGAACTCGGGGCCCTGGGCAGCACCTGGGTCCCCGGGCCCCCACAGACTCTCCTCTGCCGGAGAAACAGTGCCCGAGTCCCCAGTGGAGATGCAGTGAGTGGAGTTGGACACTGCAGGCCGGGGCCGCCCAGTGGCACAGCATAGAAGCCAGGCAGGGAGTGTGCTCTCTCCCGGCTGGCCTTGTAGATCAGCTCCTGCACGAACCCACAGGGAGTCCGATCAGCCCCTATAGTCTCAGTGGCTGTGGCCTGGCTCACCCAGAAGAGGCTGTGTGGGTGTCGGGCAGGCTCCTTGCAGGTGCCCGGCACCTGAGCACAGGTGCTTGTGCCCTGGTGTCCCGGGAGAAGATAGCAGAGGTAGTGAGAGTGAGCTCAGCAGGCACCCCACATTCTCACCGCGCTTCTGTCCCCATCACCCCCGCCCCAGAGAGCCAGCGAGAGATCGCAATGCCTCACCAACTCCCGCATGTTCCGCCCTGCCCCCTGGTGGTCAGCTCCTGGTTAAATGACCGCCCAAGGGGACAATTTGTATATTAGGCTTTTATTATACAGGATAGTTGTCCAAGGATATTGAGTATTTATTTTATTAGTACTTAATTGTTTGACATTTAATACCTAACTTTCTGCCTTATATTACATCTTTCACAGGTTCCTGTCATTTCTCTGCACTTGGTTTTTGGTTTCTTTTTGTTACTCATTTTGTTTGTTTTTTAATCCTCACCTGAGGATATATTTTTCCATTGAGTTTTTGGAGAGAGTGGAAGGGAGAGGAAGAGACAGAAAAGCACTGATGTGAGAGACACAGATCGATTGGTTGCCTCCTGCATGCCCCTGAGCATGTAACCGATGTACATGCCCTTGACTGGAATCGAACCTGGGACCCTTCAGTCCTCAGGCAGATGCTCTGTCCACTGAGCCAGACCAGCTAGGGCAGTTGTTGGTTTCTTGAGAGAAAAACCAGGCTTGTACCTTGTACATTGTAGAAATAACACTGGTAAACATTTGTTTATCACTTTGTGCCAGTCGCTGACTATGCATTTTATATGTACTGACTCACGGATGCCTTAACAGCAACCCTTTGAGGGGGGCCTTTCTGTTATCCATGTTTTATAGTTTGGTAATTGG